CTCTCCCTCCCCTCCCCTCCCCCTCCAGCCGGGCCGTAAAGGAGGCTCTGCCGACTGGGAAGCGAGGGCCAATCGCGTCTCTCTGCCTGTTCAGCCTCGGGTCGGGTGAACCTGAGGGGGAAGAGGCATCAAATGATCATCGTCTGGGCAAGACGGTGCCGCTAGCCATCCTCAGAGCTCTGGCGATCCCAAGGTACTACTTAGCACGATATTGACATTGTGGACTGCAAGTCTGCATGGAGGCGCTGTGACGGTGTGCGATAAAAACACGGGTAAAAAGAAAAGAAATGAGGTTTGAACATCAACCGTCGGGGCACACCTCGTTTTCGGCTGTCCCTCGTGCCTCATTTAGTCGTCTCTGCTTGATAACACGCCTCCGAACCAACGGCTCGCGCGGGATCATTGGCTTTCGTGCTGTTCACGCATCAGGTTTTGCACATTTCCCCGATGCATAACTCCCGTCCCAGACGCGCCACCACGAGGTGCAGGGCTCATGGTGCCTCCTGATTGCGTGTTTTATCGCTATCCACACGATACTCATTCTTTGGAAGCCTGGGTATCTAAAAAACCAACTATGGGCTGGGGACCAGAATGGAGAACACCGCTTTGGCCCGCCAGCCTACACATTGACAACCCCTGGCCCGCGAGTTAGTGCCCAGTCGTGTATGGGTACACGCGGCCGCATGCAAGTGAACTTCCAAGAAGAAAAAATACAGGCTCCTTGATATGGTACCGAAAGCCGACATTTTCCAACCAAGATCTAAGAGGGACAATAGAATCATACCTGACAAACACTGTACATAATAGATCAATCAGCTGTCCAAGATCAGCAAAGCGTCCGACCAAATATAAAACTAGCATTATGTAGAGGGTCAGTATGATACAACGACCAAATCATGTGCAGAACACAGGGAGGAAAGGGTCACGAATGAATATAAACCAACAACGCAGAAAAGCCCAAACATAATATGCAAGCCAGCAGAATGCAGGCCACATGGGGAATTAGCATATCAAACGTTCTGGCCAATTACACGTCATCAGAGTTCAGTAAGCTGACGCACAGGCATCCAGCCGTATTTTGCAACTAGATCCATCAGGATAAGACGAGAAGGGTGCGCAGGTGACACATTTCTACGACATCTGTTGACAACATGTGACACGGCATACTGACCATTCGGAACAATTGCCTCGTGTGGTTTCAGCCTGTTCTGATTCCATTGTGTTTCAGTCCGACATTGGCTTGAGACTCATTTGGACTTTGGATCATTGGACTTTGACTCAGACTCGAACTCTAGTTCAAGGCAATGTGAATCACACTTGGGCTGCGTGATGTTTTAGAAACCAATGATAAAACATGCATTGGTCTGGCCCCAGTCTGATCTGTTTTAAAATATACACCAACTCATTTTCAATGGTACCAAACGGTCACATGCCCGAACTCGGTTTTTAGTGGCGCGGGCACGGAAGGTGGTGCGACAAATCTACCACCACGAGCTTCTTAAAATGATCAAAATGTTAAAATTGTAGCCCACCGAATGAGACCTGATGTGGTCACCGCCACATCTCCCATGACCACATCTTCCAGCCACGCAGTAAACTTGAAGCACACAGCCTCCTCCCGACGGATTTTTGTTTTTGTTTTGGATTAGACCGTTTCGACCAGTCATGATCATTTCAGGGCTAGTGGATGAAGGAAAATGGTCAACGGTGGGGCAGACTTGCACGCGCCTGGGGGCCAACAGCCGAGCTTTAGCCCGCGCATGCGCGCTGGGCATCCGGTTGGCGGCCTCCTTCCCACGGGACTCTCGGCCCACTCGTGGCTGACGCATGCAGCTTGCAGACGCCCCGGACAAGCAGGGTGCTGCGAGGATGCAGGATGAAGCAAGATAAAGGATAAGAGGGAAGGATCCTCTCCTCCTAACGGGCACACAGCCACAATCCGGTGTCGTCAGCAGGCCGTCAGTACTCCGACGCGGAACACCACCGTCGCGTGTTCAGACCGACTTTAGCGAACGGCCAGGGAGCACGGCCATTGTTCCGCAGGCTGGGTGTGGCTTCGCATAATGGAAGGGCAATAAACAAGTCACGCAACTGCAACGACCACGCGGCCGTCACGGTCAGGACTCGGGGAGCAGCCGAGGCTCGCGCCGGAGTGTCGCTCCAGCCGTAACCGTCAGGACTTTGGGGAGTGGGGGGAGGCAGCCGAGGCTCGCACCGGGGCGTCGCTGCAGCCGTGACAGTCAGGACTTCGGGGGGGGGGGGGGAGGGGGCAGTCGAGGCTCGTGCCGTGGCTTTGCTGCGCGACAGTCGGGGGGAAAAACAGACATTTAAGGATACATGATTAGTGCACTGCAACTAGGTTTGCTCATGTTTGCACCATATCGTGCAACTTTGTGTCTTTTTTTCACCTGATTTTTTTCTCCTAGGATCATCAGACTACTCTACATTTCGGTTGCTACCATTACAACTTTGCGATATGATCTAAAATTAAGGTCGAGTGCGTTTTGGCCGACCTCGGACGCCGTCCTCCTAGCGATGCACACTTAAAGCGCACAGCCGTTTGCTTACGCGCTTAATAAGTGCACGCCAGAAAGCATGTCGGTCGGTGAGAGAGGGTGGCTGTGGTATCCCGCTGGACGCAAAACATTTGATCGAGGGCTGGCGCGGTCTGGGCACCGGCACGCTCATGTTCTCGGCCCGCGCCTGCGGCGCGAATCGCAGTTCGCCGGCCGGGGGGATGGTTCTGTTCACTCGGTCCACTGCTGCGGTGACTGCCACAACAGGCGTCTTCATAGCGTCCTGGCGGTGGCTCCCAATCTCGGCTGGCTTCACTATGGAGATTGCAGTGAGGTGCGATTCGACTTTTCGATTTCGATTCGATTCGAATCGACATCGAGCAGCCGTCAAAACTTTGTACCGCTCTAGAAACCACGACAAACGTACATTTACCATACGTTCCATCAACTTACAAATGCATGATGTCAGTGATATTTGGCGATAGTCGGCAGGGGCAACCCCACTCTTACCAGCTTTGAGCATAGGGACCATGTACGACGCACGCCAAGACTCCGGAAAATCTCCAGTCAGACTCCGGAAAATCTCCAGTCGCCCAGAGTTTGTTGTAAGCTGCTAAGAGGGCCGCAGCTAGTGAAGTGGGGGGTTGCTTGGGCAAGGCGTTATTAGGCGCATCCTGAGGGACCAAGGGGATTTGGATTCGGACATTTTACCTGAGATGAAAGGAACAGCATACTCGCATTTTCAGCAGTCTCTTGAAAATGGTCCAAAATCTTCAAATTAGACCAAGTCACAGTTTTACTCGGTGTTTGCCGATCAAAAATAGGCGAAGGAATACTTGTCTGCAAAGTTGCAGATTCTTATGGTAAACCTTATGTTAAGATAACGCTACGTGTGCATGCGTGGAATTAGAACACGCTCATGCGGGCACTTGTCTTGCGGCGCTGGTAAATATTTTCATATTTGGATGCCGGTTGGGTGCGGATATCGAATTCTCAAACTGTGACCACTTAATCACGCTGCATGTGTAGCATCCAATAAAAGAAACGTTGGTCTGGCATCTAATCGAGCAAGAAATGCGAAACGAAACGGATGTGTTGCTGTCATCGGATGATACGAACGGCATCCAACTAGAATCTTCTCAAGCATTAAACAAGACTCAAGCATGATTTGCAGCCATAGTTGGGCCTTACTTACGCCGCCACATTTACAGGGTTGTCCTGTATGAGCCAGGTTCTCAGCCGGGAATTGGCAATGCAATGGCGAGCCATGCTTTCAGCTCAATCCAAACCTTGGATGGTGTTTGCTGTTCGAGCATGTCCTGTGTAGTTGCCCCCACCAGATGCGCTCATAAACCATAATGTGTTAGCATATGACCTGTGATTTATTCAACATATGGTGCGCAAGGCTCACGATTGTAATTTTGCCAACCTTTGCGTTGGGTGGGCTGAGCAGGAATCATAGCTGCACTTGTTCCGTTGTCATTTGTTACTGGAGCTGGGTTATATTTGTTCCTGGCACTGGAGCCCATTCGTTGAATTGGAAACGATACCTATGCCACGATTTTCCACAGGTGTAGGGTTATTTCAGAATGGTTCTTTGTCTTATGATGAGATTTCATGCTCTCAGAGTGTATAGAGGCCGGACAATTGTTCAGCTTTGGTATTCTAGACTGCGACAGCTGCAACATGCTATGGAATATCTCGTAATGAAGTGGTATGCAATGCATGACCGGAAAACTTAATAATGAACTGCAACTTTGCCCTTAATCACACTCAAGCAAACAAAGGGTTTTTTTCCATTCGCATTTCTTGCCAACAATGACTAGCTACTAAAGCGTAACCCTGTGGTTGAGAGCACACCATGACAAGGCTGATGTATTTAGACCGCCTGTCAATTTACGAAAATTAGCCAGCGATACTCGCTAGAGGCTCCGCGGGCTCAAAAGTAGCAGCACAAAGAGCCTGCGAGCTCAAAAGTAGCAGCGCAAATAGCCCGCAAGCTCAAAAATTGCAGCACGAAGAGCCTGTGAGCTAAAAAATTGCGGCACCAATATCCTGCGAGCTCAGGCTCTGCTCAGAGCCTACGAACTCACTACAGCGCGAATGCATGCAGGGTAAGCAGTGCGCAACCAGCGGGTAGGGGCGTTAGCTGGCTCAAAATGCGTAACGTCATCCGTCTACTGTTCCTCGCATTAAATTATTGTTCTCAATTGACAACGCCGATAGCTGTTTGATGCCAATTTTACATCATCCGAAAACACCACGCTTCAGCGTTTCAACAGGCAATTCGCATTTGAATGCATAACCGCGGGTTGCACCTAGTCACCAAGGCGGCACAGTGGGCCTTTGCGGGCCAGACCCCAAGCTGACGATGGCACATTGGGCCGCGGGCTGAGACTGAAAAAGTTGCATCTTTTGTCCGGAGTCACATGATCCGACCCCCAGGAAGGGGGACCCCGTGAAACCGCACTGGACCCCATGCCCGCCCCACTCCCCCCGCGCGGCGCGGCGCTGTGATGCGGCGTCTGGAACAGATGCCACCCGGCGCTGAAGCACTGCGCAGGCGCACACAAATCGACTGGCCTTGAGTGGGAGAGGGGGGGGGGGGGGGGGGGAGGCCGGGCGGTCGACAACGCCGGCTGCCAGCCGCCTTGCCGCGGCCGCGGGGGCGCGTTGAATGCGCGTGGAGTCCGATCAGGCGATCTGGCTCTGTGTGGTGAAAGCATGGCTGCGCGTGACGGGTTTTCAGGGGAATATGTGCATACCTATTTTAACAATGTGCCACACTGCGGTACATTCTGTTGCCTGAAGCACTGACAGCCGGCGGCAACGTTAAAACCGACGCTCTCTGTGACTACATTGGCACTTCTACGTCATATCGGAGCAGTCAATCGCAAAAGGGCAAAATCGCGTATAAGGTCTCAACAAACAACATGAAATCTGGCACCAGTTGAACTGTTGGCGCCCTTCCAGAAATAATTGCCAGCGCATGTGCCCTTGGACACGTGCCAACGCCAAAGTGAACAGCCAATGGGGAGCCGCGCTCGCGTTTGCTTCCAAATAAGGAAGCCAGTCTCACCGGCTTTCGGCCAACCAGAGCCGGTCTCCTGGCGCATGCCCTATGTGGCAAGCCGGATGACGTGACGGATGCCAGTTGGCGATGACGTCACACGCGCGCCGGAGGAAAATAGATTCAGTCGAATCTATGCAGCCGGTGGGAGAGCACGCGCCGGGGCTCGCAGTTCCGTGAGTAATCGAAACTGGACCGCACTGCCGTCAAGTCACCAATCCATCCATGCGAGGGCGAGGGCGCCGTGGGCTACTACGTGGGCCATGCCAAGTGGGCGGACGTGGGCTATGCCAAGTGGGCGGACGTGGGCTATGCCAAGTGGGCGGACGTGGGCTATGCCAAGTGGGCGGACGTGGGCTATGCCAAGTGGGCGGACGTGGGCTATGCCAAGTGGGCGGACGTGGGCTATGCCAAGTGGGCGGACGTGGGCTATGCCAAGTGGGCGGAACGTGGGCTATGCCAAGTGGGCGGACGTGGGCTTGGCCAAGTGGTCGGACGTGGGCTATGCCAAGTGGGCGGAGGTGGGCTATGCCAAGTGGGCGGACGTGGGCTATGCCAAGTGGGCGGACGTGGGCTATGCCAAGTGGGCGGACGTGGGCTATGCCAAGTGGGCGACGTGGGCTATGCCAAGTGGGCGGACGTGGGCTATGCCAAGTGGGCGGACGTGGGCTATGCCAAGTGGGCGGACGTGGGCTATGCCAAGTGGGGCGGACGTGGGGCTATGCCAAGTGGGCGGACGTGGGCTATGCCAAGTGGGCGGACGTGGGCTATGCCAAGTGGGCGGGACGTGGGGCTATGCCAAGTGGGCGGACGTGGGCTATGCCAAGTGGGCGGACGTGGGCTATGCCAAGTGGGCGGACGTGGGCTATGCCAAGTGGGCGGACGTGGGCTATGCCAAGTGGGCGGACGTGGGCTATGCCAAGTGGGCGGACGTGGGCTATGCCAAGTGGGCGGACGTGGGCTATGCCAAGTGGGCGGACGTGGGCTATTCCGAGTGGGCGGACGTGGGCTATTCCGAGTGGGCGGACGTGGGCTATGGCAAGTGGGCGGACGTGGGCTATGCCAAGTGGGCGGACGTGGGCTGTGCCAAGTGGGCGGAGAGCTTAACTCTCGCTGAATTCGGCAATGCACATTGTATATGGAGCAAATTCGAGTGAAGTAATCGTTACTTAAAACGTCCGACCAGTGGCTCAGTCCCCGAGTCGCTTGTGGTAAGCTCGACCACGTGCTCCCCCACGTTGTGCGGCGGAAATGTGCGTCGGTGTTTGTTCTGTCCTCAAGTCCCGCCGCGTTCCGGCGCTCCCCCTCCACTTTAAGGGGAAGGTGCAGCGCTCCCCCTCAACTTTGAAAGGAATGTTGGCCAAATTCGTGGGGAGACTTGTTTGTTAGCGTCATTTTGTGTGTCGTCACTGCAGCCCCCCCCCCCCCCCCCCCAACGTGTTCGCGGAAACTGTTTGCGCGACATGTGATGGCTGATTTATTGATTAGGTTATCTGCGGGATGCGGCGTATTTGCGATCCCCCCGCTCTGCCATATTACTTTCAGGTTGATGCTACCCATAACACTTCGTTGTAAGTAAATGTACGCCCTCTCAACCACTTCACGTCAATATCATAGTCGGTAACTTGGCCGACACAGGGCGGAAGGTAGTTGGAAAAATCAGGTCGGTGAATCAGCTGTTGGTATCATGAGATGTAAAATAGCAGGCAGATGGGTCAGGGTATACTTTCCTACGTAATGTGAAAAAATCACTGTACATCATTCGTCGTGTTTAAGGCAGGACATATCGTAAATAATCACAAAACAGGCAGATTCATGCTCTTGCCTTCGATTTTTTCATAATTACGATGGCGAGCTCCCGAGCGCCGCACACACAGCAGCGGCGACACCGGCGCCATTACTGCGCGAGGTCTCAACATTACTGCGCGTCAAGCAGCATCAAGAACCATCCACGTGCTTGTCTTCGAAATTGGTCCAAAACGAAGGGATCCTGCAAGGATGTGGGTGCATGCTTGCATGTTGGCGTGGGCATCGTGAACGGAATTTGATTGCGCCGATTTGAGCAACATATCACAATCATTTTTGTCTATCAAAAATTCAATGTGTGGGCCACGCTAGACCTCATGTAAGCGACCAATCAGGAGAAGCGCGTGCGCTTGCCTCCAAATGTAGGCATGGGCCCGACCGGTGTTCAGCCAATGGCATTCGAGCCCCTACCGCACGCCCTTATTTGGTAAGTGGAGGCGAACAGTACCAGCTCGGGGGCTAAGGAGCGTATTTGGCAGGCGCAGGTAACCCTGCAATGCTAGGTAGTGGCCTGTGACGGAATCCTGTCAGAAGTATATCGCGCTAGTCCAATCTCTGCAGCCGTCTGGTGAGGTGATTGTAGGCGACATGTTGATGTGTTGAAGTTAGCGATTGACGGCGAAGTTGTCTGTTGTTTACTGGGTTTTAGAGCACGCCGAATGCTGAGGTCATTTTGCACCCACAACAAAGTTATCCCAGGTCAGTGATGATGGTACTCTGTTGGACATGATAGACATGACGCTTGTTAACACGACCGTGATCTTGATTTTCACGTGATTTTTGACACCGACACGATTTTTGATCATGCCGTTGTCCAGGGCCGGGCACAGAACAGCCCTTTTGGTGGGAATGAGGCTGCATAGGCTTGGAAAGATAAAATTAGAAAAGGCTCCATTACTTTGTCAAACTTATGGGGCCTTTCTTCTTTTTGTATTCAGATATGCTCAAAAGCAAACGTCCATTATCACAATTTGGAACTGATTCTCGCCGAAATTTGCCCACTGGGTGGGTGGATGGGGATTCCCTCCTCCCACGGGATCAGTCAGTTCTTGCGCTTTTCGTTACCTTAGAGGAAATGCTCCGCATTTGAAGATATCGAAGCAAGGGCTGGATATGATGAAATAATTCGCATAGTTTTTGGTATAGTCCTAAATGGAAAAGACTGCTCCAGACAGCATTCTTTCTCTGTTTAATAGATGTGCTCCTCAATGCCGCCCAGTGACGATCCACCCAATAACCGCGAAGCACACACACTTGCAACCAATTCATCGTTCTCCCTAGCTTCCCATTAAATTCTACGCATCTGACTACCAGGTTATATGCACCTACCCACAACAGTTCGTTTGTTCATTATCGGTACGAATGCAATCCGATATTCCGTCCGCCCATCTGTAGCAGTCCTCGCGTTAGAGTTCAATTTTCACGCCTTTTTCATTGCACTGGTTGGCGGCATAATCTTACAGAGCACGTCGGCCATAATTTTGAAAACACAGCTTGGGCTTATCCCGAACCTTTAGGCCGGGAAACGGTGAATACCCCAGCATTGTGCCTGGTGGCACATGTGAGATCACTGCTCGTTCCTTCGGCCACTTTGAACGTTGTCCCTCAAAACTGCCCATTTTTCTCGCCCCTAACCTCGAGCTGGCTAGTGATGTTTTGAACCATCGGTCTCGCTACTGCATGGTATCATATGACACGTTTCCACGGAAGTCGGCAATGATAAACCAACTACGTCTATAAATAAAACGCTTGTCGCGATGCAAGGTCAGCACTGAGACGAGTGAAGTCAGCAATAGGTGGCGCCAACGAGTGTTATGTGTGAGAGGCATTACGTGTCGGGGTGAGAACCTGGAGTGTCTCGGGAGGTTAGTTCATTGTTTTTATGTTCGGAAATGGTATGGGTGTTTTATCGTTTTATCTACAAGTAAGCGATTGTTAATGTCGCTGTTATTTGGTGGCTCATGGCATATTATCAGTCATATAACTAGGTGGATTGTTACTGCTATGAAATGACTGATTGCTATCCCGAGCATTGGCGATACAATATATACTGTGCAACCTGACAACAGAGTAATTCTAGATCTTCGTGAACCGTCCCTCTCTGGACGCGATTGCCTCTCCGTCAGTTCGGGACGACATCACCTTGCCGCCCGGACTGACAGAACGGGCTTGATGCCGGTGGTCACTCTTGTGTCGCACTGCATTGGGGCCCGGGTCGTCAACTGATGAAAACAACGGCAACTTCTGCTGTCTTTCTCTGGCGTCGCCGAAGACAGTGACGAGTGCGACACGCTCACCGGTTGCGGATGTTCCTGTTCCCATCGCGATGTGTTTGAGACAAACGATTGCGCACGCGAGAAAATTAAGTTCACTAACGTGCGAAGGCATGCGATATACGACATCGTGTGCACTAAAAGATGCACGTAAGAAGGAATCTCATACGAGAGTGGCTTGTGCAAATAAACACCATCCGAAAGTCTCGATTTCGAAGTTTCATTGATCCGAGTTTTGCAAACACGCGCAGTTCCGTGCGAGGGTTGGCGACACTAATTTGCGGTCTAACATTACGCTATGAAGATTTCCGTGCGGATTTGTGCGAACGAAATGCGTTACGAATACATTGGATGCGAAGTTTTGCCCAATACCAAAACTTTCCGCCTTGTGCGGGGGAGTGGATCGAGGTGCAGTTCGACCGTGCTTGGTGGTCGCCCCCCCCCCTCCCCCCCTAGACCGTGCTACAGCCACTATAAACATTATTGCAGCAGCCCGACCTGCGCCTTGGATTCCTGAGTGATTTTCTTATCCGGTGCTCATGCGGCCTACATATTTTTTTGATGAGTTCAATGCGGTCATGTGTCTCTTGGCCAGCAAGCTGCAAGAAGGTTGGTACCTGTTACAGCTCTACACCTGGTGGTCATGGGAAAGAAGCGATGACAGCGGCGGTGGTCATGGAAGAGGAGTTGACAAGCGACAGCTCTCTCGTCAAGGGCCTGTTGACTTGTTCCAGCTGTAACGTGCTGCTCCGATACGGGGAGCGCACGCCGAAGCTGCTAACGGGGTGCCTGCACACCGTGTGTGCCCCGTGTGGGCAGCAGTGCAATTCCGGTGAGGGAGAAGGCGATGGTAGTGTGCCTGCGAAAAGCACTAAACGCGTCATCTTTTGCTGTTATACTTGACTTGAACCATTTCTTTTTGACTCACTGTTGCTGGACATGGATATGCTGAACATGTTTGACCAGTGCTGTGTTAAGTTTTATTTCGTCGATCATACTCTGTATTTTATGCTTATGAATTTGTTCGGATGTTATGATACGGGGTGGAAAGAAAGGGGAGCTATAGATATTGTTATGAAAAAGTTTGTAAAGTGTGCACTATTTTCTTCATTTGTATGCTCTTCGGATTTCTCTTTTTATGCTGAGTGTTTTGCAAACTTTTAGCCTTAACACAGACTGAGGAAATGCGAGTGCCAGTCCGACCAGACGTTTTTCATAGAGCGTTTGTCGCTCTAGCGTTATGCCAGGGCCTGAGACATGACAATGGCATTCTTTGCGATTTTGAGTGACAACGTATATTCCATGTGGATGATGTGCAGATTTAGGACGTATCACGATGAATTTGAATGCCCGTTACTTTGCAGGAGGCTTGGAGTGCCAAATATGTATGACGTCGTCGCCCACGTTGCTGGACCACCCGCTGGTGCAAGAGCTGCTTCAGCAGCAGCACGAGGGGCAGGGGAGCCGACTTTGCGGCCAGTGCACAGAGCGCGGAAGTCGAGCTGCCGCAGCTGGCACCTGTGACGAATGCAGTACCGACCTGTGCACCGTCTGTATTCAGGTGCGGCCCCCCCCCCCCCCCCATACTGCTCCGCCCGGCACGAACTGACCCACAGTGTGTGCGCTTTGGGATCATTCTTGGAATCTGCGGCGTGTTGGCAGGCTTTGACATTTGATGTGGGGGTGCGAACTTTGCGTCTGGTCGACGGTCTTGAGCTTTGGTTGCAGATTTTGTTTTCGATGCTGGTGCGGAGATGATGTTTATGTTTCGGCTTGTCAGTGCATTTTGGTTGTTGTCGGCTTCTGTGCATACTCTCACAAATATTCTGTCGTGCATATAAATACGTGGGTCATGAAATGTAGTGACGCTGTACTGCATTGCATTTCAGTTTCTTTTAAATTTTGTTGGGGATGTGGGGATTGTTACCGTGATGCACCTTCTGGACCGGCAGGCGCATCAGCGTACGAGAGTAACTTGGGACCACAGGATTGCTATGCATCAAGATACAGCCACAGATGATTTGTGTCCCAAGCATCAAAAGGTAGGCGTTCTGGGACAGTTAAAATGATTTTGACCCGGTGATGGAGATTGGTTGCAATATGGGTACGTTATTGATTTTTTAAAATAGGGGTTGCATGGCGGAAACCACGGAAGATGGGGGTTGTGTGATGGAAACCATGAATACAACTGTCCGGTGTTTCGCCAGCCACTGGCTTGCAGTCTTAAATGTAAATGGCGGAGAGTGCTTGGATGTTAAGTGGCAGCCAGGAACGAATCGTTGATCAGGACACCTAATTCACAGCAGCGGTGCGAATAGTGACACCTGACCACTGACTGTTGTTCGTGGTCGTTGCAGCGACACAGTCGCTTTTCTACAGGAAGCATATTAACTTGCTGTGCTGTTAGTTCATGTGCGTTTACAGGTCGCCTACGTTTCCATTTTGTTTCTCCGTCCTTCTAAGTTGCATTTAGAACGAATCGTTAGCTAAGGATGGGAAGGAGCAGGTTATTGTTACGAATGGCTGGGAGCACAACCGGCTGTGTGACGAATTAACCGTGTGTTCGGCTACGGGGCCTTTTTAGACCCCGGAAAATTTTCGCCTTGGACGGGAGTGACCGGGACTGGCGGTCACGCCGTCGCCAACTGCTCTGGTGGCATGTGCTTGTGTTTGAAAAAGGATCTGCGTGGAAGCGCAACAGCATGTCGAACATATGTGTAAATGGTCCTGGGTGTCGTTGCGGCGTATGCACTGGCGATGGCGCCGCGTCCATTTCATCGTTGGTTATCATCGAGCTAGGAGCCAGACCCCAGACCAGACAAGGATGTGTCTGCGACGCCACACACGGTAGTGTTGCCAGTGATAACTAGTATGACGAATCGTTGTTTCTTTGTGAAAACATCCATTTCTGTGGGTCGGCATTGGAGGCTGCTCTGCCATAAGTCGCAGAGATAAGCTTGTTCACGTTAAAGCGGTGCCAGGCATACCATTGCTTTGTGCAAAGAAAGGCCTATAAAATTAAAAAAGAAACCTGATGGCAGTAATAATGCGCTGAAAAGAAGCCCAGTTCGAGGATGAGTGCGAGTGTTTGTAGACGTGGGTAGGATCACGATGACATTCCACGCGCTGGGCAACCTCAGTCATCAATTACCGCAGATAATGCTCCCAGGTGGAGAGCTTCATCGCACAAGACCGAAAAGTCGATGTTAATGAGATCGCTTAGCATCTGGGTCGTTTCCCACCAGACTCTTCATTTCATTATCACCGAAAACATTGCGATGACGGCGGATCAGCGCCAGATGGATGCTGCGTTAGCTGGACGACGGGGTGAAGGAGAAGTGAGCTTGTACATGCTATTCACTTCTCGGATGTCATTTGGATGACCCGGACAACGTTTTTAGCCGTGAAATATATTAATTGTATATACCTCAACAAAATTCTGAGCCGAAGATGCGTCCGAACGGGAAACATTTGGATTCCCTTCTATTGTAGAAGTGTCCGTAGGGGATTTTTCTGGATTCGGCCCTTTTCGCATTTTTCTGGGACCAGGAGTGGGCCGTCCATAGCAATCCAGTTCCTTATAACTCCGCCGTCACTGGTCAGTAGTACAAGAGTGTGATTCAGAAGAACCTTCTGCGGGGAATCGAGCATAGGCGACCCAAGGTAACCAAGGACAACTTTGCGCTTCACCAGGAAAACTACCCCGTAAGGCACTTGTGATGGACTTCTCGCTCGAGGAACATATCGATATAATCTCACACTCATCCTACTCTTCATGCCTGGTCCCGTCGGAATTCTGCCCGTTTGGGAGTGATTACGTCTGTAGACGTACCTTCGAGAGACAGCAGTCCAGCAGAGGTGTATTCCAACAGAGTCTTTTAGGACCACTGTGCCCTTATAGATAATCATACGCGCTTACCACTACGCGCTATCCTCGCTTACCACTCACTATCCAATAGCAAAGTTTTAGGAGGCCCTCGTACCCCTGGCGCGGTTGGTCAACCGGTGCCTCAGACATGTGGCCACCCGACGCCGGGTGGCTGCCGGCGAGTCCTGGCGGGCCACCCAGGCAGGAACACGTCAACTCCCCCTCCGTGGCAACCGAAGTGATGATGTGGACATGGTCTGACTGCCACCTGCTGTGTTGACTGCGTCTCATGCTGCTCTCGGGAGACAGGTGGAAGAAAACACGTCGGCAAGATGGAGGGGTCGGCCGTTTCCGAGCTTCATTAAGCCTCTGCGCAATCGGGCGGAGAAAACGACGATTTCATCTGGAAACTGCCCCACTGGGCTCCTTGAGATAGTAGTCACGCCTGTTACCAACACTAATGGCTGTCCCTACGCAATCCCATAGTTTGTTGGGAAGATCTTGTATGTGAACCTCTGTAATGGCCTTCAGAAGTGATGGAGATTCGGCGCTCTGGTTGTAATGGTCATCAGCTGTGGTCTTCAGCGCTGCTGCTTTGGAACTGCGCTCAGCTGCTGCGGTTTGTCACTCACGGGAGAATGAGCGGCGACAGGCAGGAACGTAGGAGCGGAGAGGATGGCCGTAAAAGACCTGAGCTCGAGAGCGTCTATCAGCCCGAAACGAGTTTCGAAGTTCCAGAAGGTCCTCACAGGAACCATCAGTGGTGAGCTCTCCACCATGACGCGTCTTCCGGATGGGTGCCTTAACGGTCATGACTGCTGCTTCATCGTGTCCATTTGACTGTGGGTAATGAGGCGTCGATTGTTCCAGCCTCACTCCCCAACGTTTGAGGAAGTTTCTGAAGTCGTAGTTGGAGAACTGAGGACCTCCGTCGGAGCGGAAGCGGACTGGAATACCGAAATTGAATACCTTTCTGACCACTAGGATCAGCTGGCCGTCTCGACTGTTTTCCTGGAAATGCAAAAAGCGATCGGCCATCCGGAGAATATGTCCACGTGGGCTCGGTAATGACGACCAGTACGACAGAGCAGGTCTGCCGAGATGTCCTATAAAGATACGGGGTGGTGGAGAGTCAGTCATCAGCAGCTCCTTGACATGGCTCGAGCAGTGCAGCTGGCAGGCATTACAGCTGCCGGTCAGCTCCTTGATTTCCGAACCTAGACTTGCCCACTAGTCTGTCTGACTCGTCTCTTCATCCGCCCAGTTCCTGGATTAGCCGCGTGGAGGGTGCCAAGATTTTGAGATCCAGCAGCAAGCGGTACGATTTCCCCGGAACCTTTCAACAAAACGCTGTCAACGGCAGAGAGGTCTCCGCGGATCCCCCCAGCAGGGCCGCAGGTCGATGTCCAGAAGTTGCTTGGATGACGGCCAGCCGTTCTGGGCGTGGCAGAGCTGTCGTTGCTACGTTGCGCCAATAGATGACATTCCTGGTGATGTCCTCCAATCTAAGGTTCATGAGATGCTTTGGCATCTCTTCGTTACCGGAGTGCAGCGGGCCTGCCACACGTCGTACATGCAGTTCCTCTTGATACACCATTCTGGTATCTCCCGCTGTGGGATCATCCACGGGTGCTTTAGATAGTGTCCGGTTTGGGTGGTTCCCTCCCTTTCCTTCACATTGCACCGTTCACTCGCTCACAATTTCCGATGAGCAGTTCGTGTAATCCAGTACGGCAAACCCCCGCTGTGGTATCGCATCACACTGCGCCGAACAGGGTGCCCGGAGCTCAGGCCTGACAACGTACGCGCGTTGCAGACGTATGACAACTATTGCGATACGTGTCGCACAGTGGGCTGCGGAGACTGCATCCTCTTTTCCCACCGTTCCCACAAGTCACGCACGCTGCAGGAAAAGGACGCGGAAGTGAAGAATACACTAAAGACCTGCCTGGACAACATGAGGTGAGATGCGCCTCACCTGTTTCGGATAAGCAGCTGAGGCGGTATAGCCCAGTGTCAAGACGCACTTGTGCTGCCTGGCCTCGCACCCCGCCAACATTTAACCTTCCATCTTCGCCCTACGTCCCTGGACTGTGCAGATTTCGGGACCAAACTTCTCATCCGGGTTTGAGAAATCCGGTTGTCTGGATTCCTTGCCCCGGACTGCGGTGATCCTCGCGGTTGAGCTCGACGTCTTCAAGCTGTGGACGCGGACCTTGCCCGCGCGCGACGCGGGTTTTATGTGCTCAGGCCGAATGGCCATTTCTTGGGTAGGCCTCCGCCGTCTGGGTGGCATGCAGTGAATGCCTTAAATCGGGCTGGTAATGGCAAGCATTGTCGGCGTTCTTGGCACTCATGGCGTGTGGTTGATCAAATCGGGATTCTCTCATCGTCAGAATGGGCTTCACTATGGTCTCAAGACGTGACATTCATCCACCGAAAACGTGATACCCGTTACTGTCGTTTCCATCTTACGCATGAACATCAGGGCAGGCGCCTTTCAATCCCTCCCGTCCATGCCACCACACTTGGCCACAGCAGCCCGAAGCGCCCTTCCGCAGCGCTACACCCGCCATTTTTGCTGGGCCGAACGGAGCGCTTGCTGCGCCTGGATGCCGACAGTTCCCTGCCGTATCACCAGCCGGTGGGTGAGGTTCTCCGTCATATCACCAGCCTCTCACTCACATTAGGATTCAACACAGAACGTTAAGCGGTGGCGCAGGCTCGATAGGCGTAGTATTCACAGCACGCTCTGGGGTTATGGAAGCACAGAGATTGTTACGTGTACACTGATTTCACCCCAGTTGTAACCCGTGCATTCACATTTTCGCCCGCTCGCGGTCATGGGCCAACAAATCCATGGTGCAGAGAGGAAGCCGGTTTCTGGTATCGCGGTGTTACAGCTTCCTCTTATTTATCTCCTGGATATTTGGGAACTTTTTTGTAGAATTGGGAGCCGTGCCGAACTTAAGCTTTAAGCCTAGCTCGCTTATGGGGTTATCAGCCAGTACTGTGTATACTGCCTCCTTGGCCTATCGTGCCTCCAGCCTTAGCCTCTGTCGAGTTTCAAATTCTTCTGGCCGGATTTGCGAGGACTTCGGTGTCGTGTAAGGTGATAGACCAGTCGTGGTAATCGGAACTCTCCCCTCCTACTAGGGGAGAGGTCTCCTAGACGCTCTCTCCCTCTCTCTCTCCCTCTCAATACTCTAAATACTCTCCTCTCTCCTACACTCACCTCCCCTCCCCCAAAGAAGGCACATCATCGTTCTTTTTGTACGTTATTTCTCGGTTGAGTTTATCGGTATTGCCTCGGAAGTACAGAATGCGAAGTATCGCTCAGCCCTAGACTTGATGGGTGTCTGTACCCACATTGTTTACAAGGCTCCCGAAATGAGTCGAGTGATCTCGGCTTGGTGCTCGTAAGGTCGACGTGCTCGTAAGGTCGACGTGATTTGTTCCGTTCAACATAAAATTACACTCCACGGTGTTTGCACGATGGGCATGGCTTGATCCGCACCTGCAACGTGTACCTGAAAGATGTGGCCGCTAACTGTGTCGGATCTGCTTGTAGGGGGCTCAGCAGCAAGGTTCAGGATGGAATGAATAGCCTGAAGGCAAATCTGGAGGAGGCAGGAGCTGCTAAAAGGGCCGGAATGACGGGCATTGTCAAACACTTCGAGGAGTAAGTAAACCCCTATCCACCACGTTGTTTCGCAGCGCCCAGCAGCTAGCGCAGCTCATTTTCTCGGTGATGTCTCCATTGCCGGCCGCCGCTCCTGTGTTTAGAAGCAGCTCTACCACTGTTGAAATGCCGTGGGCGTCTAACAGCTCTGGTGCACGGACCGTACCAACCGGCTGCCGTTCGCGCAGGTACCAGGCACGCGTGACCGAGTTCTTCTCGAAGCAGCTGGGAGTGACTGAGGACCAGTACGACGGGTACGAGCGCGAGTTGCTGAGCCATTTGAACACCGCAAAGTTGATGGAGATGAGGCTGGCGCACCTCGACAGCTTCGCCCAGCAGCTGATGGAGAACGGTCGGCCGCTGACGCTCGTCAAGAACGCGAGGTGAGTCGGCCGCACGCGCCGCCCGCCGACTGCGTGACCCCAGAGAGCGTCGAATTTCAGATGGCAGTGAAGACCACCGAAACGCATTGACAGCACAAACGGGTCTTCTTAGCGTAGGAATGGGCGTTATCTGTGTAAGACCTACTACGCCTACGTATGTCTCTGTAAAGTTCGGGCGCCATGTTTTAATAGTGCTTCACATAATGCCCATCGCAACATACCAAGAAAAAGGCTCCATCACGGGTAGCCAGCGAGAGAAGTAAAGAAGGGGGCATTGTGTGCGTGGCTTAGTCGCCAGTGCATGCCTATATAGCTGTGTTGGTCCGTGAACGCCGGCTCGCACACATTTGCTCGCAAGCCCAGCCGGAAACGTTTTCAAATACTTTATAAATGTTTGCAAATTGTGGAGATGTAAGCAGGTTCCTGTCAAGTTTCACAGATGTTTCATCGGGACTTTATTTCCACCGGATTCTGATTCTAAAGGGAATTGTCCGAGGCAACACGGGGTTGATATCACCGAGCCACTTCAATCAGTATGACTATGAATATATTAAGGCGGGGGGGGGGGAGGGGAAGCATTCTCTACTTGTTCCAGTGGTAATTAACATAACACTAGCCCTGTGCGTAAATTGCTCCCGGCTGTCCCGCGTATAAAAACGTACCATTCCTATCACTGCGCTCCCACCTCCCCCCCAAAGAAAAACCACACACCATTGGCGACTCGTTATTTCACGAAATCACGTAGTTTCACGACTGTCTGTCATGAAACCATAAATTATATTCCGCCCTTTTCCAACCATTGTATACCAATGGCGCGGAATGACCATCAATCTGCGAGCATCTTCCTTTTCCGCACTGGAATATGATTTACGAAACGATCATTATAAAATCACTGGCCATTTGAACAGGATATGAGTGTAATTTACGAAACATAAATGATGGTGTCAATCATGAGAGCCACTTCATATCTCTTTAAGGGGGTCTCGCTCCCTCCCCCTCATCATTCAGCTGTTCCCTTCTGACCACCTAAATACTTTTTACTAGGCCTTGTTCCTGATGTCAGTGGATTCTGTAGTGCCGCCCGATGCGAAAGTAGACTTGGTTTGTGCTTTTTTTGCAGTGACCCGGAACTGGCCGCAACTTGCCAGGGACGCCAAGGAATATTTCGCATTTAATGAGCCAAACTTAGGCAAATGGGCCAATGTGAGCCAAATTGTTCTGATATGAGTACACCTATGATGATAAGTGAATTTTACATCACCAGGATGCCTCTAGAAGGCTGCTTCACGCAATTTGTTTCAAAAGCCTTTTGAATTCGACGCTTTTTTAGCGGTCTGTGTCCGCCACCGTTGTGCCAGACACAGCGGCCGGTCTTCATGCCGCGCCACGTGAAAAACCTGCCAGTTTGGGACGACCCTTTAGCCAAGATAAGCCCCTTCCCCACTTCCAGCAAGAAGAACTGGCCTAAGTCGAGGCGCTTCCAATTGCGACATAAAGGGCTGTCGTCAAATTCGCTGGGCAAGAGCCAGCCAGATGAGGGAACCGCAGACGAAGAAGACGTAAGGCAGAGTAGATCAACAGATGCAAAGCATGGAGAAGCGAGGGCGAGGTAACCCACAGAATGGATCAGTCGACGGAGCGCGTCCCAAAAAGATAGCTGAAAGTGGCCCAACCAGCCTGGAGGCTACAATCCGGACTCCTGTGACGTAACATATAAGCCAGCCGAACACGAACCTAAACACTACTGTGCACGGCTAAGGACATCGCAAGAGATATTTTGTTACAGATGAGACATTGAACCGCGGACAAGGTCATGCGGTTCGGCGGAAAGGCCGTTCAGGAAGTAGACCTGACTCAATCCCAGGTTTTGCCTTCACTGTCGACTGGACCGACGGTTAGTTAAAACACCCAAGGCTTGACAGGCATCGAAATTGCAGCTTCGAAAGTATGTACAACAACATTTACAAGTTTGAACGCCGTAACATAGAAGATCAACGAGGTAGGAGGGTGTCGAGCATGCCGTAAAACTAAGTTATATAATTTCCCTTCAAGAAAAGCTTTTATACTAGCACGGTCGGGCTAGTGCAGGTGGCCATGGGGGTTGATAACGAAGTTGATGTTTTGGTGCTCACCCGGCCAGTATACTCCGGTGCAGCGTAAAGCTGTGTTAAGAATCTGCAGCTGGCCAAGGTTCGGGCCAAGGGAACAACCGGACGTCAGCATTCGTTTCTAGGATAGCAGGGCCGGAAACTGAAGACGGCGAAGTACGGTTGGCGTTTGGCGAGATTGGGTGCAGACGTCCGGGGTTTCAGAGTTTGAGATGGAGATGACTATGCGATGCTAGCAAACTAGTCGGGCTGGTGCATAAGGTCAGTGTACGGATGGGTAGCCTTCGAGTGTACAACGCTTTATGCGCTGTTTTGCAAAGGTCGTTTATGGCATGTGCGCTTAGCTGACCTGTTCTGTTTTCGATACTGCGGCTTAACGGAAAGCCTAGTAGGGTTTTAAGCCTAGTTGCGATTTTACTTTTTCTCCGTGCGCGCTGGCCCCATCCCCCAGGTCAGCGCGGTTGAGGGCACGCCAAGCATCAGAGGTGTCTTGTCGGGCAGTTGGTCAAGTGGTGGGCGCGAAGGTTATTGTCTCTGTCGATTTGTTTCACCCACAACACTGTGAGGCAGCATTCGCTACATGTGGCCACTGGCAAAGCAGGGACCGGTCCTTGTGACATCGGCGCTGACGGCCTGCGACGTGGCGTGGTGCTGCTGCGACGTGGCGTGGTGCTGCGGTGACTGGGCGGAGCTGACCTCGCCCGACCGGATGGCGTCCGACTGAGAATTGGCAGCACGGAGGGCGTAACGCGGCAACATTACGTGTGTCCCATATGAAGTGTCTTAGGTGGAATGAACGTATCGTCTCATCTGTTTACAGACACGTTCTCGACCTGGCCAAACGGTTGCAAAGTGTCGACATCAACACTCGACTGGAAAAGAAACTGCCCAAATTGGAAATGCACCGGTCAATGCCTCTTGACAGTGAGTTCCTGTAGCATACAGTGTCACTTTGAGATATCCATACTGATTCTGAGTTCGTCAGTGAGGGTTATGTTAGTGCCGGGACTGGCCACGAGCCGTTCGTTAGGATTCAGCATCCTTTTGGCCAGCAACGTGTACGTATGTGAGTGAACGAATGCGTAATTTGAAATGTGACAAGCTTTCCTATCATGTAGACACTCCAAGCAACATCTGACAGTATGTGTTCCTTACAGGAATTGGAGACATGTTCGGCATGTTGCTCTACGACGATGAAATTTGTATTCAGCCAGCAATGGAGAAAAATCTTATGAGACGCTTTCTGAGCATCTCACACCAGGTCATGGACCAACAACTGCGCACCAACTCGGATTTTGGCGTAGAGTACATGAAGGGCCTATTCTACGTCATATGTCAGTCAAGCAGCATGCGGCCAGAACTGTACAGGCTGATACAGGAATTACACAAGACAGTGACGGCGGCCCGTGCGAACACAGTGAGCAGCGTGGGCCAGTTGCAGGGCGCGGCGGGCGCAGTTCAGCCCCAGACCTTGCCAGCGGACCAGCCCAATGCCGGAACGGCGGGCCAGCCGACAGCCGACGTTGTTCCATCGCTGCTGAACGCGAAGGACCTAGACGCGGCAGTGCGGCTGGACAGAGGCATGGCGGCGGATGAGGTGACGCCCAGTGCACCCGCTAGTGAGCTGTCAAGGCTTCTGCGTGCACCCACTGAGAAGAGCGACCAACAGCAGCAGCCGCCGTCTCATGTGCAGCAGCTTCTGATCCGTCAACAAAGTCACCCGCATTACCGACAACCATCTCAACTTCATCCTCCTTCCCAGCTGCAGGAGCAGCAGCGACAACAGCAGCAGCGGCAGGAATCTGATTCGTATTGTCAGCTACCTCATCAACGACGGCAGTCCACGGACCAACAGCAGAATTCCTGGATAATACCGATATCGCAGCAACGTGGGCAAGAGCCAAGGGAGCAGCAAGAGCTGCAGCGACATACCCTGCAGCAACAGCAACAATATGTCCCCCAGTACCACGGTCACCAGCAGCAGCAGCGGATGCCGCCGCATTGTGGGCTGCAGTCGACATCATTGCAGACAAATCACGCCCAACAACCACCTCTTGGTCTCAGTTCCATGCAGTCCCGTGGGACAATCACTCAAAGTGGGAATCCAACTCAGTGGGCCGTAATTGTCCCGGCGTCGGCTCAGCCCATTGCGGGTGTGCAAGAGGTGCTAACGCAGATACAACAGATGTCAAACAGCGTGCCACGACCTCAGCCACCATGCCACCAGTTGTCTCCAACACCGATGCGGCAGCCTCAGGCTCCTCAGTCTCAGACAGCCTGGCCTCGGGCGTCGCGACCACAGGTTTCTCAGGCTGAGGCTCTGCGGCAACAGGCTCCTGAGTCTCGAGTGCAGCGGCAGAAGGCTCTTCAGCCTCATGCATCACGCTCTCAGGCGCCGCAGCCTCAGGCGCCACAGCCCCAGGCGGCACCAGCTCAGACCCATCGCTGTCTTGCTCTTCAAAACGAGGCGTCGCCATCCTCCGAGCGGCAACAGACGGCGCGAGAAGGCGCGGCAGCGGTGCAGCGCGCAGCGGCTGAGCCGGAGCCTCCAGAGCCGACCATCTCCTGGCACAACCCTGCCACACCTCTGCCGTCCCGGATTGGCGAAATATGTGTAGACAAAAGGTTCCGGGTGCGGCTGGGCCGGAAGCGCAAGCTCTCCGCTGACCAGGATACGGACGAAACCGTCCAGGTGGGTTTTGACGGATGCGTATTGAAACGTCCTGAGTTCATGAAGTTCAGTGACCAAAAAGTCCAGAATCGCAGCGTGCGGCGTTCATAACATCCAGAAAACGTCCAAAACCCCTGGACAGAGAAGAATCATGAAGTCCAGGATTCATAAAGTCCAGTGTTCATGAAAAAACAGCGTGCGTGAGATCCACAGGTTGGGTTACCGCCCCACTTCCTCGCAACCCTTCACCTATTAGTTGGGATATTGCCCGATAGAGAGCTACCGGAACCGATTTCGCCCGCCTCAGCTGAGGAGTGACGCCATGCAGTACAGTGCTGCCCAGTTTAACCACTGGGCATCGATATGGACGTTTTGTTTGAGCGCGCAAAGTTCGCCGCGTCAGCACGCCCTTGGCAGCACGCGCATTAAATGAGTCAAAATTTTGATCCTTGGCTCGTGTCATGGGAAATAGCTGGTTATTCAGCAGAAGCTGCACGGTACTCGTGGAAAGCACCTGTTTAGTATTGTGGGCTATGGATAAGATTCTCTGCGGTATTTGGTTCCGTTATTTACTGTATGTTTAGGTGATGTTTCTCTTTTTTTGAAGGAAATGATGACAGATATGTAAGGCTGACTGATTTGGTGTCTGCGCCAGGTAGGCGCGCGTATGTATCTCCAGGTCCCGGCACGTTAACCCATATTGTTAGTGATTTTATTTGACTTTCCTCTCCCTCCTCCAATTACAATTTTTTCACACGCTCCTGCAAACGGGACTTATTCTGAATTCTACATGCCTTTTCTCTCCAAGAGTGAGGTTGGGGCTGTCTTATCAGGTTAATCCAGATACTACTCCCTGGTGAGGCACGTTCATTGGCCCAGCCTGCAAACCATTCGTTTCTTCGACCAAGTACGCTTTAAACGGGCGTAGTTTACCAAAATAAGTTGGTTGGCTGAGCGATGAAAATGCAACGAAGAGTACCGTGATAATATGTCATCGGACTGGTTTATCTCCAAATTTGGCTCACTTCCTCACAAATCTGCAGGCTGCACCCCAAGCTACGGCGGGGGGAGGGGGGGGGGGCTGTGTGAAACCCCTGCGATTGCATAGGGAACCACGCTCCTGGTTGCGAGTTACCAGGAAGCAAAAGAAAAGCAAACGTTGACTGCGGATGTGTTCAGCTGCCTGCCAAACGTCACGCAAAACACCACGCACGTGTCGCGCTTAAATGCGCTGTTGACTCACCATCTAAACAGCGGAGTCGAGTGTATGTCACCGAGCTGGTTTGTGATAGATAAGCTGAATAAGCGGGGAGAATCGTGAGCTTGTATTCGGCATCCACTTCATTAATCTTGAAACGCTTTCTTCCTTTTACGCTTCAGAACGTCCGAAGTGTGGAATTTGGGGTCCAGCAACACCAGTCTGGAGTTGAGACGGGTGCAGTTTGTGCCGCAGAGGGACGGTGGTGATATGGTGATAAGTGGTTAGGGTGCTCATCTCTGGACTTTTCTATCCTAGCACGGAGTTCCAGGAATGAACGCCCCCAATGGGCACGGAATTGGACGTTTTCTGGACGTTATGAACACTGGATGGTGCTATCCTGGACGGTCTGAACACTGCACGCTGCGGAGGTGGACTTTTTGATGACTCCCCGTTTGGACACCGTACTCATACAGTTCAGAATGGCGTTATCTAACTTGAAATCAAACAGCCGGTTCCCTCTTACGACCAGAAAGACGGCGACGCTGTTTCTATGGGATCAGCAGGCTTGTACTTCGCAATATTTGTGTTTTAACGTCAGTTACCAGGCATGTTTCCTAATACAACTTGTAATCGACGGGACTCGTGGGTAATGCCACAAGTGTCTTTTGATTCTTTACCTCGGTGGACAGGCTGCAAGGCTGCCCCAAATTTAATAGTTGTGTTTCACGAAATGATGGGGTACTCGTCCCCAAGGTGAAGTTCTGCACACGAACTTTGATGCCGCTTCATGTTGGAGATTCCGCTGTGCGTTTTGGAGTAACACTCTGGTGGCGTATACCAGAGTAACAGAACTTTGGGCTCAGAAAAGTTTTCAGCAGCAGGTACTGACAGTAAAAAGAATGGGATCGTGGATTAAGACTGGACTTACGATGGTTACCAGTAGTCGACAGCACAAAGTTAGCGACATCTGTGGTCGGGCTGTGGCGATGAGTAGTTGTAAGGACTAGTATTGGACAGTCCTAGAGTGTTTGGTGGTGGGCACAAGACTGGTGAGATTGTGTTGTTTTTAAGTAATCTTGCCGCATATCCAGACAATGATGATACATTCTGTTTTGTGCTCGCTCCCCTTTTGCTTCCGTTGTGAATGGGTTAACAAATGTTGTATTTGAGTTTTCGGCGCATGCAAGCGCGACCTTTCCGGCGATTTCCCCCTAAGTCCCTTCCTCCCACACTTCTTTTTAGAACCACGTCCCTGATCCCAGGACTCAAGAAAAGCGCATCCTGCCAAAAGGATGTATAGAAATGAAATTTCATCCCATGCCCGTGCCTTGCAGCGTGTGGATTGGTTCACGTCTTGCCTTAAAGCTCGAAGAGAAGTGCTATGACGTGGTTTTTGATCCCGCATATTCAAAGTAAACTTCATCAGGCAGCTTTTCAGAAACACCGGAGAGACCTTTTAGCATGGGGTCTCTATGGCCCAGTCGTGAAATATGCGTCGTTGGTACCATTCGACCACACAAGATTGGACGACCCTTAGACTCCCGTCAGTTATATACCTAATCCCTCATTATTGCTTTCTGTTATAGGGAACATCCTCTGAAGCGGCCCAAAGGAAGGAAAACAGCGAAGTAACAACACCGTCCATCTCGACGCCTGCCGGGTCAGAAAAGGATCCCCCACGGCCCCGAGTCGAAATTCCGGCGCCAGATGTCACCCTCACCCGTGTTCATGCGGACGCCTCCGCGCTGGACCTCGCCAGCAGCGTCCAGGCTTCACCGTTACCCAGCTCCACGGACAGCATGCCGGCGTTGGGTCACTTGCCCTCAGCCGACCCTCTTGACGAGCTGCTAAGTATCATAGGAGCTGTTGAATGCGAGCAAGCCCCGGTTGTCCCCAGTAAGCCGCCATCTGCCGAGTCGCCAACGCCGGTCAACACTGATGAGATGCGGCCAACCGGCTCAATCCCTACAGAAGTATCGCCTACATGCGCAGTCAAACGCACGCTGACGCCGAAAACGTACGAAAAGCTGAAGGCCAAAACACGTCGAATCGCGTCTTCGGCAACTGTGACGGATGAGGTTATCACGTCTAGTGGTGGAGTGGTTTCGCAGTCCGGGAAGCCATCAGCGTCAGTGGCGAGTGGTTTGTCGACCGCCAGTGATGCAGTGGCTTTGCAGTTTGGGAAGCCCTTCATCGCGCAGCCAATTACCATCACCATGCCAAACATAATCACAGCTCCGACAGCATCCAACGGCGTCCTGCTGCCCCATCCGCCTGCGCTGCCTGTAGTCGTTCATGATCCGCTGGTAGATTTGGAACCAATGGGGAGAGGCGGAGACATTCTCCAGGATGGCAAGAGGACACGAACCTCGGTAGAAACACCCTCCATGCGGCGGGCGGAAAAGCGAGGCGGCAGTTTCGAGCAGGCGGCCTGTCTGGGGCGACAGGAGCAGGAGCCTGCAACGGAAGAGGGTTTGCAGCAGCAGTGAAGAGGCCAAGGTTTCCGGGCTGGGAACGAGAATCGCCGGCCCGGCGGCACAAGTCGGCTGAAGGCGGAAGTGTGGACGATTCGACAAATATAACAGAGCGTGTGGGGGAGCCATGCGAAGCAGCGCCACCTAAAGGTTCACAGACGACTTGTGCCAGTCAGCCGGGCGCGCGATCGACGGAGGAGGTGTCGGACTCGACTGCGGTCCCATCGTCCGGGGCGCCGGCGAAACGTGGAGCTAACCAGACGCAGTCTGATCAGGAGGCCCTGGTCAAGTCCGGTCAGAAGGATCGGACAGAAGTGGAACGAGAACCCCTGGTCAAAGGCGCTTTGATATCAGGACAGGGTTCGGCGATGCGTGTCAAGCCCCCTGCTGGACGACCCGTCGATAGGATGCAAAGCGACAGGCGTAGCTCTGTTCCTCTCCCGTCATGCGGTCCTCCATCACTTTTGCTTCGCGGGACGGAGCGTGTCACTGCTCAGGCACGGAGCGTGACATCAGCACCACGTCCTGCGTTGCCGGGAAATGTTGGGCCTAATGAGGCCCGAGCTACTGCAGGCACCACTACAGGCGCTGTTGAAGTTTCGAGTCAGACCAGACACGCTCCTGTGGTCTCCGGTCCGACCAGACCCGTCTCTGTGTCCACTGTTACGGTTGGATCTGCTTCCTGTGGATCTGGTCAGACCGAACTCGCTCCTAGCAGTTCGGGAAAGATTGAGAAGATCCCCGCTGACTTGGACTCAACTAAGCCGTCCTGTGGGCACCTGAAACAGACGGGGGCCATCTCTGAGAGCGCGAGGCAGACGCTGAGCTGCGCGGAAAACCGGGGTCTACTTGGGGCTGTTTCCAGTGACACGCCTGATCCGCTTCCAGCCTCTAAAGAGGTGGAGGGCATTTCGAGTACGCGGCAGAAAACCACCAGTGCTCCTGCCAACCCGCCTCCGACAGTCGGCGAGCACCAGTCGGGGGCATCAACGTCCGGGGGTCGGCCAACGGCGCTGTCGGTTGGCTCCACCCAGCTGACTCACGTAGTGAAGCTGCCCGACCCGGTGCTGCATGGTGATGCCGCCCTGGCGTGGGACTCGACGGAGGACCCGCGCGGCATCGGCTTCTCGTCCGAAATGCTGTACCAGCCGCCGGAGCGCGGCCCCCAGTCCCCCAACGTCAGCTACTGCGTGCTGTGTTGGGACGGTGGCGAGCTGCTGCTCTGTGACCACTGCGAGCGCGCCTTCCACCGTGAATGCTACATCGGTCCTGCGGACGACTCAGACAGGTGAGCCCGCCGGAGCGACGGCCGGTGAGCAGATTGAGCGTCGAGCGCTGCAGCTGGCTGAGAGCGTTCCCGTCCGGCTGAGGCTCGTACGGCTCTGTTGTTCCGTCGTGTGATTCGCGTAGCGTTGTGCCTGTCGCCATGTGCCAGCACTTGCGGTGGCAGCTGTAGACATGTGTCGGTGGCGCGTTTGACGGCCGTGATCCTCTTGTCCGCAGCGGGCCGTGGCAGTGTCTGATGTGCCGCGTTATGCCGACCCCCATGAGTCCGATGGAGCGGCGCGTCGGTGACCAGATGAACGCGGAGGACATGACGTTAGCCCGTCGTTTGCTGATGGAGCTCTATGCAGCCTACTATCCGTCCATGTACTTCAAAAACCTGGAGGCCATGTCGGTAAGAGGATTTGGACTGTGGGCCCATGTGAACCCGCCCATGCAGACGAAGCTATCACGCAGTAATAAAAAGCAGTTATGTAGCTAGGATGTAGGATATGGGCAGTAACAACTGGCGATTTATTTGAACCATACGGTTATGAAACGCTGTTCCATGATAATTTTTTCGTACGCGCAAGCCCTTAACTATGGCCTTCACAGTCTCGCGCCAATACAGGAAATGAGGAGAGACCCAGGTTACGTTTAGTTAATGTTTCTCAATGCGTCACGTTTGATGACGTCATCACACCGTGCACAGCATTGATTGAGAGCCCAATGACGGCCGTTATGTATGGAAATCTCGCTCACTAACGCTTGATATGAACGACTCGACAATGATGTTGTTTTAGCCTTGAGCGCCGCATGGACAATGCAGCAACGGATTTGAAGGACGTTGTCGTGGCGTCATGGATGCCTGGGTGACCTTGAGATAGTCTTAAAAAGTCTGCACATCTTTGCGGGTGTGAACTCCAGAAACTAGCCGGTGGTGGACCTTAAGAAGGGCAGGGCTGTAAACCGCATCAAATGATTTTCAGGATGGGTATTTCAGTTGTAAATTCCATGCAAATGTGCAGCACTCTCTTAAAATGATTCGTGCGTAGGTAGCGTGCCGGCCAAAAACTTAACTAGCGGACGTAGCATGTCGCTAAATCTAGGGCAGGTAAACACAACGTATACCTTAACCGATTCCACAATACGCAAACACTAACATTGCTCTTGGCAGCCACAGTGCACACTGGAACACTCACAGCTACACACACGTTTATCGATCTCCGCTGCTCTGCTGGTAAAACTGGGACGTCGGATCGGCTGTCTTTTGCGTCGCTTTTGCTTAGTCTTTTGTGTGGCCCCGCCGAGCCGCGCGTTGCGCGGCGGCGCCCGGCATTCGTGCCCATGGTGCCATGGCCGCGATGTTGTCGCGTCCCCACGGATGGCCGCCTGTTCACCCTGGCGTTGCCTCTCAGACCGGCCGGTCCGGCGGCTTGTGGGATGCGGTGCGGTTGGCTGCGGCGGAGTGGCTGGTCTTGCTGCTGAGCAGATGATGGAAATGGAATGGAATAAGATGATGAAGATATCGGCTCGGTGGAAAGCTTCGGTGTAACATCAGCTTGGGTCTTCCACGACGCTTCTACTTCCACACACTCATACTTCCCACGCAAGATTGTTCCGGTTTGCAGCCGATGCGCACATTTCTGAGAACTGTACTTTATTCCTCATTTCTGCAGCTACATTTCTTATGTAGCAGGATTGGCATTCGTACTCCGTTCCTGAAGACGGCCACTATTCGAGGCGCTAACTCCACTCGCTGTTCAAAATACTGCACCTTATTATGTAGGTACCTTAGGTGCCGGATGCGGAACACGTTGTTGGTGTTTGAATGGGGGAAGGCTCGGGCAGGGCTTGCTCGTGATCACGCCCGGCTGGTAGGAACGCTGACCGTAGTACAGTCCCAGTTAAGTTCGGTCCAGTTTCCGCCCAGTGCAAATGGGGGACAAGATGTGTCGGGGTGTCTCGCTGCCACATCAACACGCTACTTGCGTCAGTTGTTGTGTGCAGCCGTCACCCACCGGTGTGCGTTTTTTAAAGATATTCTAAGTAAAGGATCGTTTTGGAATATCTACCCGTCATTTCGAAAGCTTCAAAGCTCACCCATATCCGTGATTTACCATAAGTCCGTACCCACCCCTACCCGTTACTCATACGAATTATATTTGTATCCAAACGTAATATTCTTAACCCTCACGCTTCTCAACACGCGTTCGGAGGGGGATCAGTTTGATCCACAAAGGTTTTTCCATTATCATTTCCAAACGGCCTAGCGTGGCCGCGCCAAACTTGTTTAGCTTTAGGCATTGGACTGCATCACATTTTGGCATATAGACCAATATGCGCCTTGTAAGATCGCTTCCCTGTGCAGGACAAGGTCGGGCCGTGGCTATCAGTGAAGGCAGTTTCTGGGAAATCGTTCAATGTGATGTGACATCGAATTGTTCGCGAAGCTTTACATCTCTGACATAGTCTCTAAGATAATGCGATACTGTGATATAGGAAAATGACAACTAAATTCCATTCGCCTTGAGCCAGGTATGAAGGCCAGACCGAAGCAAGAAAAAACAGCCCGCTTTTTACTGTACGGGGTAGTTTCTGACGCCAGTGTCGAATTTGTGTGTAACAAAGACTGCAATAGACATTTTTCCACCAACTTCTTAAAGGTCAGAGTGGGTCAATGACCTAAAATGACCCAGATCAAAATTTGGTTTCCGAGAACATACCGTCTAGCGTGATCCATGACGCTCATTCAAATTCAAAAGTCAAAATAATCGTGTAGTTTTTGTCACCGTGATCTTTGCAGGTCAAAGTCACTAACCTAAAATAAGCATCACAGAGCAATATCTAGGTTGAAGGTGGTTGTATGAGGTGGTCGCACGAGGTTTGGGGGGACTTTGGACACCAATTTTGAGGTTGACAAAGGCAATGCTCCACATTCCCTTTAAGGTATTAAAGCGAGGCTCCGATATGATGAAATAAACTCAATTATTTTAGTCGTTAGCGCGAATCTTCCATATTGGAAACATTGAGGCAAGCGTCAAATATGATGAAATAAGCTCTCTTATAAGTAATGAATGAAATAGAATAAGTTCACTTGAGAGCAGGTGTATAGTTTTAGGCACAAAAGACCACTCTTTACAAAACAAATCACTATTTGGTAAATACCCCCCTCAACACGACATCGTTTGCTTGTGTACTGAAACGTTAGTATGACATCAGAAGGGTCTCCAAAGTGGTCTTGTGAAATTTTCACCCGAGCGGACGGACTGACTCACTTCAAGTGCACTTCTCGAGAAGTGTTGTGGTACTGGATGCGTCGTTTCCAGAACCCAGATATCGCGTGCACCCACTTCCTCGTCTTGTTCTTGCACATTTGTCCGTGATTTAGTACTGTGTATTTGCTTTCACATGCGCGGATGTGGCGCCATTCTCAGTTATTCGATTACAAGTTGTATTTCAGTAATGACCAGCAGCATCGTCCAACTTAATTGGGGACTTGACGACGCACGCAGCTGCTGAGGCTATATGGCGTCGAATGCCTCTCATTCTGTCAGGAAGGACGGCACCGTCCAGCTTCCTGTGTTATGTAGCGCAAAACGTGATTCAGGTTTGCAATTTGCACCGAAGGCATAACATTGGTTGAGAGCCAACTGAAGTCCGTTGGTTCCAGAAATTATGCTCACGTGCGCCAGAGACGAATGGCTCGACGACCATTTTGTATTGGCTTTAATTGCCGAATGGCTAAAGGGGTGGTGGTTTTTGAGTGACGATTCTTTGTCATCGTGCATGTGGCGGTCACCTTCAAAGCGTCTACACGAAAGTGCACACATTCGCGACAGTCTTCAGGTGGACCAGAGGATTCAAGTCTTAACAAGGGCAGGGCTGCGAACTGCATCGAATGATCTTTAAAATGGCACTCCCTTTAAGAGGAATGTTCCACATTTGTATGGAGTTCGAATTGAGATGGCTATTTTGAAGACAATGATTGCAATTCACAATCATTTCCCTTTTTAGACTTAAACCCCGTTTTTACCTTGATGTCCGCGAACACGTGCGACTATTTTAAGGTCACCCAGGCCTGCACGATGCCATAAAACTGCAGTAATCGTGGCAACAACGGGCATCAGTCACCCCTCAGCCGATTTAAGGCTTTATGCGCTAGTTGCGAATGCAAACAAGTTGTGTGCTACATTCCAAAGGGATTTGGGAAGTGATGCTGGTTATAACGGAAATAAGACTGGTCGAATAACTTAAGAATGACGCTGTAATCGAGTGTATCATTGTAAGTAAAAAAACGGATCACTGACAAATATACAAGGACTTGGCGAGGAAGGACCAACAACACACGCGCACATAACGACTTTCGGTTTCAGCAAACACGCGGCAGCAAAGGCCGCCATCTCTATGCAAATCGAAGTACTACGAGCTAGTTAGCCCGTCCGCTACAGCAGCATTTCTGGCACGGCCAGTCTTGCAACGACTCTCACGTCATAAAGACGTTTCATGACATAATCAAACGATGCCGTATTGTAGAACGTAGTAAACGGTGAACTCGTGTTGCCGAAAGCAGTCTGTTAACCCTCAAAGGAAACCAAATTACAAGTGAGGTTATCTCATTCTATCACTTGCCTCAATATGTTCCGATGTCAACATTTATTTGGTGAGCGTGGCGTAGCGTCATGAGCATAGCATCCTGGGGCTCATGAATACGTAGTTTTCGTGTGTAGCTTTACAAATGACTGCTGGCAGATAAAAAGGCCTTGAGCCTGACAAGACCCGATGATTTCACTTAATGCACATGAACTCGTGTGTTTTCGGTGAATAACAAAAATGTTGCTAAAGACGAAAGCCTTTAGGTATGTTATTAATTGCAACGAACTAGGCCTAAAGCCTGTGTAAAAGTGTAGAAAGTACTTTTAGCTCTCTTGGCTGCGTGATTGCCGCTTCCTTTTGTCGATTGACCGCTTCCCGGTCGATTACTGGCGTCGCTGTGTCGGACAGTATTGAGCTCGCTTCTGTGTTATACGATGCGCGATACGTTCATGCATGGATAGAATTAAGTGCGTTCTTCCCGCGAAGACGTGGTGTTTGCTCTTGACCCTATAGCACTGCATGTTGTCAATTATCTAGCCTTTATATTTCTTCTTCTTGACATTCCCGCGCCCCCCATCATCTGTGTGCGCTGGCCGTAATTTGGCTGTCTCGAAGCATGCCGCCCCACCGGCACGTCCGCGACATGAATTCGACCGATGCGGGTCGCCCGTCCCGGACCGGATCAGCTCTTGACCCCCTGAGCTCTCACCAGCTTCAGCTGGCGCCTGTGGCTTCTCCATCGAAAAACCGTAATGCCATCTTGTCTTGACCGTCGTCAAGTATTCACATCTCGGTTATGTTGATGCTGCACTCTTCCGGAACAATTTGATTCGGTCGATTTGATTGGCTGAGATTCAAGACGCTAATGCCAGGTCAGGTGGATAATTGCTGTCCCCAAAACGCGCGTGGACACAGTTCTAATGACATTATCTGCTATGGTTGCAGCTGCTCTCCGGGGAAGAATATATTTTGCTCAGTTGCCAGTGGATGGAAACACCAAAAGTTCATTAACACGGATGTATCCAGTTGTATATCCAAAAACGAATTACTTGGTCAGCCACCCCGCTGTTTCTTCCGTTAGCTCAGACGCCCTGTTGTTTCCCCTCAGCTGAAACGGAGCACTCGCAATGCCAGCTTTTCTCGGGCTTGGCTGAAGCACATTCATCGTTTGGCGAGGCCAAAAGTCCGTGATGGCTTCAGCAAGAAAAGCGCCTTTCTCGAGAGCCTTTTTGATATTTGCCAACCGATTAGGGAAAAGGTGAGAACAGGACCTCGGTCATGGCCTGGATGTTGAGGTGTTGGGTGGGAAATATCCAACCTTTCGCTTAGCATGTCATTTGTCGTGGCTGCCTGGCTCCCCGCAAGTACCTGAACGGCGTAGCCGGAGCCAACGCAGCGACGTATCCTCGCCCACACGATCTTGCTCATGTTGTCATCCGCCTGCGCCGTGCTTCGCTGTGCATGCAGCAGTTCAGCATTGGGGCGGTAACGTGGCATGGGTAGGTGATCACTGAACTCCCTGGCGTTGCAGGAGCTGGCCGACTTCGATCAAATCCCGCGGCCCTTGTGTCTGGACCAGATCAAGGAACGGCTGCTCGCGCGAGACTTCTCCACGCTTATGCGCTTCCTCTATGCCCTGAAGAAGCTTGTCGACCAGCGTCAGTATTTTAAGGTATGAGCATTGTTATGCCATTTAAGGACTCCCAATGCTTCTGTGCACTTTCCTGAGTTCCATGGAGTAATCGATAACAAGACACGCGATGACCTGGAATCTCCAACAGTAGCGTTTACGGGTGGGTAATCATGTGGACAACGTCGCGTAGTATAGTGCCGCGGTAATATCCAACGCTCGGACTGACAAACGATGTTATAGATATGCGACGATGCCGTCATAATTCTTTTCAGTTATCCGACCTGAGCAAACGAATGTACTGCCGTGTTTTCCAAGAACAAAAGAAATTAACAAAACCATCTGTAATCCGAATGTTAACTTCACTCCACGCCTTTTGCAGAAAGGCACCACCCCGGACAAGTATTTGAAGCAGTTGGATGATATGCTGGAGCAGTTCCTCCTGCAGCATATGCATAGTTATTGGCTTCACGTGGACGATGTCCGATCTTCCAAATGACGGCACGCCTGATGGGGGCGGCTGGTTCTTTGCGGCCACCAGCCAACTACCTGGTGAATGGGTCGCCTTTGCCCGTTCTTGTGTACAGGTGATCTGTTTCTCTGTTACGAGAGGTGACATGTTTTGGCGTTCAGCTGCAGCATGTTCAGCAATCAGCCGCGTACAGTTCAGCATAGCCGCGATGCGGGTAAGCTTAGCACGTTGCGCTCTCACCGAGTGTAAGAGCTTGCCTGCCGTGTTGCAGTGGTCAGGACGGATGCCTTAAGGATGCGGGACGTTGGCATCTACGGTACGTTCATGCCGTATTATATCGTCGATAAGCCAATGGTTTCTACGTGCCCGTTATGTGTGAGAACGGTCGCGAATTGAGTCAAACTGTTCGTGCTGCTGGAAGCTTTCCAGATGTGATATGACCTTCGAAGTTCGTAGGTTTTTACATTTTGTTACCATGATCCCTCATGTTGTGTTAATGTGTATAAGTGGTCAAATACAAAGCCGCCGAGGCGGCCACATTTTGCACGAATCTGAAGGAAAGGCCACGCTCGTGACTGACTTGAAGGTTTGCAGCTCCTGATGATATCACCGTCAAGTTCTTGCACCGAGTAGCACACCTCTCAGCACAAGAGGTATGCTGCAATATGTTCAAGACACTTAAATGCAGTCTCTCTGATAAGTTCTAGCATTTTCTCCGATGATTAAACAGCAGTACTTCATTTTCCATTTCATCGATGTGGACATTTCCTTTTTATCGTTAAAAGGTGGCGGACGCGACGCAAGTAGGTCCAGCAGACCGGACCAGGACTACAGGGCCAGACCGCGGTGATCAGGCGTCGCAGCGATATCGGACTATGTGATACTGCCTGTCGGAACCGTGCGAAAATCATGAATTTATGACTTTTGACCTTTAGGGGGTTGCTGCTATCCGGGCAACCAGAGTAGGTAGAGGCGTACACCAGAAGTGCGGTTCAAGCGAATGCTCCGGCCGCAAACATATATCATCAGGATGGGATCGTCGTATTCATCGTGTCTGACGTACGTCGGTACGATTTGTGGTGTCAACGGACGTTAGCTGGCCTTCAATCAGTGCAATGTATTCGCGTAAATTTCGAACACAAATCACGTTTTGTGATACATAATACAGAACTTTGGACAGTGTTGCAAGTTATGACGAAAATAAGAGTTGGACTCGTACAACTCGCCATATACTCACCAACTCGCCGAGTCGCCATATTCCAATATATGAATGCAAGTAAACATTGTAAAAACACGGGCGAATAAACAAGACCACCACGAGAAACGGCCAAGACACAGGCACGCAACACGATTCAGATTCAGTAAAACTGTACAGGAAACACACCCATCTCCCGGCAAGTTGAAGTGCTACAAGTAAGTCAGCCCTTCCACTACATTGGCAATTCTAACACGGCCAGTGTGGCAGCAACTCCGACGTCATACAGGCGTTCCATGACGCAATCAAACGATGACGTTTTTAGGGTCATACTTACACAAATAAAAATTGTGTCGCTTGGAGCACTTTTTAAATTTCTAGGAAAACCAAAGGTTAAAACTGAGCCTATTTCATTATAGTTGATGCGTGCGTCAGATCTCTATGTGGCGAACATTCACTTAAAGGTGCTTTATTTGTCCAATCACAGAAGCGGTGAACCACGAGTGGGGAGGGGGGGGGGGGGGGGGGTTAAGGGAGCAAGTGCCTCTCACCCGGCCGGCAGGAATGGAGGGACAAGAGAATGCTTTTTAGCCCTCAAAATTTCGGGCGGCCCGTGTTCCCATGCAAGACCTCATTCAGATTACCAAAATTCGGATCAAGGAAATCCCATAATTGAGCTAAGCGGTACTAATTGGGTTCATGGGACTTATGCATCAAGAGGCCCATTTCCTGGATCACTAGATCATCTTGACGAATTAGGTAGCCCGTGCTGTAGATCAGGATGGCATTTGCTGTCTCGTGGGACCACCATTATAATTAAGGAAGCCGCCATTATGAACAAGCAGATCCAAGTTAAAAAATAAGGCACCCTCGTTATGAACTGGGAGGCCCCTTTTATGAGCTAGGAGGCCCCGTTATGGACTCGGAGGCCTGTTTCGAACTAGGAGCCCACCGCTATGAATCATAAGACCACATTTATGAACAAGGTGGCTCGTGGTATGAACTAGGAGACGCCGTTATGAATTAGAAGGCTCATTATGAACCAGAAAGTCCGTTATGAACTTAGATGCCCCACTATGAACTAGGGGTAGAATTTCCATTGCGAACTTTATTAACTGGAAAAGACTGTTCTAGACAACACAGTTTCTCTGTTTTGTAAATATGCTCCTCAGTACGGCAATGTTTGATCATGGCATGGTATCTTGCACAACCTAGACTTAAAGCCAACTGATGGCCGTTTATCTGGAAATCGTGCTCACAAACGCTAGATATGAAAGATTTGACAGCTTTGTTTTTATCGGCCTTGATCGCTGTTCGGCTAATGGAATAGCAGGATTTCGATGGTGTTGTTGTGGAATTATGGTTGCACGGCTGTGATCACAGTGATAACTGCACCGAATGATCTCCAAGGCGGCTATTTCAGCTCAAAACCCCATACAAATGTTAAACGTTCTGGTTAAAACGCCCGATGTCGCGGCCGTTTCACACAGGCAGCATTGTACTAGTTTCTTGACCGATTTTCATGTTCACGGATTTTATGAAACGTTGAAACGAAACGTATGAAACGAAGAACATTGGGTGTTTTAAGAAAGGTTGAATGAAACAGTGTATAAATTATGCTTTATGTCCATTTTATGTTTGCTGTTTGAATCGTCGGTATTGCTCATTTTGTTTTACCTTATAGGATATACCTGACTACACTAACTCTTCATGTGCAGTTGAATATTGCAGCTTTAGTGAGGGCGGCGAGAGGGAGAGCTGGCGGGGTGGTGGTCCTCTCTCAGGGGACGGGGAGGTCGTCCGACTAGATCCTGATGGGTCTGCTCCCAGGCTGGTCCGGGGGGAGCCAGTCGTGGACGACCCCGGGCCCGACGCGGCTCTTGGTCGCGCACGGCGAGAGCCGCTGATCAGCCATGAGCCCTGAGGGGACGTCAGGGGGTCTCAGGGACGACGGGCCTGGCCTGGGAGGCCGGGGGACAAGCCTCAGGGGCCGGGGGCCGGGTGTGGTGGGCCGGGGACCGGACCTCAGGGGCCGGGGACCAGGTCTGGCGGGCCCGGGTGCGGGCCATGAGGGCGCTCCCCAATGGGTACCCGTTGGGCGGGATCAAACCCCCGCTCTCCGCTCCACCCCGAAAGGGGGCGGGTCGGGCGTGTGCCTCCGCCGGCGTGGGCCAGGCACCAGTATTGAGGGGGGGGGGGAGCGCGAGGAGGGAGGAGCGAGGAGGGGGCGCTGCTTGTTTGCTTTTGCCTAAGATGGGCCTGGAGCTCAAGCCACGCCGGGCAGGCGCGTCGGTCCCAGGCCGGGTGAGGGCCAGCGCAGGTGGCGCAGCGCGGCTCCCGGGCCTCGCAATGGCAGTACGCGCACTGTTGCGGGGCGGGAATCCAGGGACGCAGGGGTACCCGCACGTACCCGCATAGGCGGTACGACAGAAGGGCTGTGCCCCGGAAACGCAATCGGAGCAGGGTGTTGGGCCCAAGCTGCGGGCGGCGCGACGGCAGGCGCACTACCTCCGTTACGCCCCGAGCTAGACACTCGCCGAGAATGTCCTCCTCGGACATCTCGGCAAGGGCCAGGGCGTACACGACCGCCTGAACACTGTTCAGGCGGCCTTCCATCATAACCACGACGTCTCGCACCAGGAAACGGTTCTGCTTGAGAAGCACGGACGCCTGATGGGCACCGTGGACTTTTATCAAAAGAACCCCCTCCACCTCTCCAACTTGGTGCTCTATTTCGCGGCGGATCGTGAACGGTTTAAGCGTGGCAAAATTTTTCCGTCTATTTTTTATTAGGAGAAACGATGGCCCGTCCGGCAGCTCGGACGACGGGGTAGCGCGGGCCCCACGACGAGGGGTGGGTCCCGGATCGCGGCGCGATGGGGATGGGGGCTGGAGCGGCATGCTTGGTGTTCGGTGTTTTTGGTGCTTGTGTTTTTGCTAGAAGCGAGTGCTGAGGGCGATAAAGTATGGGTTAAGGCTGACAGAGTGTGGGTTTAAGGCCTGGCAGTGTCGCCGAAGGCTGTGTGTGTACCTTACGTATCCGAAGAAACGGCGACACGAAACAGGGAACAATAATCCACGATAACTCAACCCTTCACAAGGGTGCGAACTCTCAACCTTTTACTACAACACCTTGCACAAGAAACCAAACTCAATCGACGTCAACCTCTTAGCAGAGTACCCCCCCCCCCCCCCATGTTAAACGCTAGACGTAAGAGGTGCTGCGGCCCCCTCCACCGCCGTTGCTGTTGCCGCTGCTGCTCTCGCCCAGCTGTGCGCAGCCGCGCTGGGTCACACGGCCGTGCCGGACTGTCGCGAAATGTCTGCTTCGCAGAGCAGTGTGCTTGTTGCCGAGTGAAGTATATCACGATGTTTTGGGTGTTCGTTCGTATACTGCTTTTGCATATACTGTGTCTTTTGCTGAGCGTATTATTAGATCTGCATGGTGGATGATAAAACAGTTTTGCTGAAGGTGTAGATGGGAATCTTTTTTACATCAATTTCAGCTATTCACATAAAGCAAAAATAGTTTGCTAGGATGTGAAAATGAATAAAGTGCATGTACAAAAAACCCATACGTCAGCCATATGGTACTCGCGTGTTTCAAATGCTCGTTTTATTTAGAGTAAGCATTAAGAAGGGTGCCGGGAGGTTCGAGTGTGTGCGGCCGGGACGTTCGAGTGTGTGCGGCTGGGACGTTGGAGTGTGTGCGGCTGGGACGTTGGAGTGTGTGCGGCCGGGACGTTCGAGTGTGTGCGGCCGGGACGTTCGAGTGTGTGCGGCCGGGACGTTCGAGTGTGTGCGGCCGGGACGTTCGCGTGTGTGCGGCCGGGACGTTCGAGTGCGTGCGGCTGGGACGTTCGAGTGTGTGCGGCCGGGACGTTCGAGTGTGTGCGGCTGGGACGTTCGAGTGTGTGCGGCGGGGACGTTCGAGTGAGTACAGCCGGGACGTTCGAGTGTGTGCGGCTGGGACGTTCGAGTGTGTGCGGGCAACCAGTGCGACTGACAGCGACGATCAGAGAGCCTCGAGTTTGAGGGAGGCGTTTCTGAACGGTTCTAATTCAGGAACGAAGGTTTGCCACGTGCGTCCGTTGGGCGGGTCACTGGCGGGCCATCAGGCTGGGGTCACGGCCTGCGCCATTCAGTCTGCAATGGTTCAGCGGGCTCTTTTGAAACCGATAGCACTTAGATGCCCTGCTAGAATGGTATCAGTCATATAAAGAAGTTGAGGTTAATGGGAGCGTAGATTGTAGATGGAAAAGGGGTCAAACAATTAAATGACGTGGCCAACCCATGGTCGTCTGGGAA